ATGAAGAGCATCCTTGCATATGTATTCCCTTTCTCCAGGTGAGTGAGGGTGGTGTGCGTTGCCAGGGCGATGGCATCCTCTGTGGCTCTGTTTGTCCGTTTGTCCAAACTGAAGAGGGTCCAGTGTGTCAGGGAGGGAGGAGCAGATGTGACCTTGACTATAACCACTAGGGTTCTGGGCTGCACCACTAGAGTCTGACCCAGAAGTTATATCCATGTTTTGTACTGGCTGTGATCGGTGTTGATCATTTCTGTCATTTCATTGACGATTTGTGTCCTGTTAACAACAGCTCTGTCCCACTTCCCATTTAGGGGCTGCATCCATTGCAGGATAAATTGGGACGCAGCTAAAGGCTGGAATTTGTCAAGCTAAAAGGCCAGCATCCTCTTCTGGTTGTTTGCAGTATGTTTTCACTATGTGGAACACTAACAAGAAGCAAGTATGCTAGACCAGCTGCCCCTGGCTGTTCACTGATCTGAAGTCAGTAAAGTCTGAATGTCATTGTACACATGTGCAGACATGTTTGGAAACATAGCAGTAGCAAGTGAACAGGAAATTTACATCATGATTATCACCACTGGGGGTTTCTCTGTATTGTTGTAGGCATTGGAGCTTCAGCAAACCATGGTGAGAACAATTATCTATAAATGAAGAAAACTTGGATCAGTGGTGAACCTTCCCAAGAGCAGCAAGCTTGCCAAAATTACTCTAAGAGCACATTGACAACTAATCCTGAGTCACAAGAGAACCTAGAATGACATCTAAAGAATTTCAGGGCTCATTTCAGGTCCAAGACTTTGGGGAAAATATTCTTTGGACTGAGGAGACAAATATAGGGTTAGATATAAAGGGTTGACAAAACTAACATAGCAATTCATAAAAATAACATCATACCAACAGTTAAACATGGTGGTGGTAGTGTGTCGGTATGGGGCAGCTTTCCTGTTTCAGGACATTGAGGACTTGCTGTAATTGAAGGAGCCATGAATTTGAGTCTGAAACAAAAGCACACTTGGGTTATATAGCACGGCAATGAGCTGAAAAACACAAACAAAATGAAGGTTTTGTAGTGGTGTAATCAAAGTTTAGACTTAGACTGAGACCTTTTTGCGTACGGCACAACTAATTTTGAGTCGTTACCTGGTGATTTTTCAGAAAAACAGTATTTACTTAAGTACACTGTACTTTTCTGGGCATGGCCTGGTATTATGGGGTGACTTAACCCTGCATCCATGTGTTAGTGTTATTTATATTTTGCTAAACAGTTTGAAGCTGCAGTTATTAAAGTTAAATGAAAGAATCTGCATTAACTGCTGTTTGGTGACACCTGAATGATATGCTGTTGGAGTAAAACATTTTTCCAACACGCTTTTAATCCGAGTCACAGTAAAAGCTGTATTTTGACAATGTTGTAACGGTTTTTAATATGTAACATAGCTGATAGCTGAAAAAAAGGTTTTGATGGAAATCAGCATTATGTTTTGTAACTTAAGCTTCATGTAAGAAGAAGTCTGATCTAATCTGAATGTGCAATCCACTTACTGAAAAAAAGGAGACTCTGGAAGTAATGACATGAAACAAAAATGACTTGTCGATTGAAATCAGTTTTCTGTTTTTATTTCTCCTCAACCAGAGCCCTGTCATCTACGTTCATCTGAAGCACTGCTAGGTGACCAGTCCCAGCCTGAAATTAAGATCACACAGCATCATAGCTCCTTAGACTCCTCATCTCTTTCTCCACTGGTGGAACAAGAAGGAGAGGCATATCTGGAGAAAGTTGGCGGTGTGCGGCGCCACACAGTGGCTAATGCACACTCTGATGTCCATCTGCTGTCAGTTTCAAACAAGATGCATGCTGGGATGGAGAACAGCAGAGGGGAAGAGGAACAGGGAGTTGTTGGGTTTTTGGTGGGGGCCAAGCCTATGAGTCCCATGAATTTCTGCCGCCAATTGGTCATGGGAGATTCTCCAAATTGCTCAGAAGACATTGGATATGTGAGACAGAACAAGATGAAAAACTTCAGGATGACGAATGAAACTAACTGCAGAAAGAAACTCGCAGGACATTATTAAGATTGAAGAAAAAGCAAGAAACTGTGTAGGAATCACGAGGAAACGTCCGTACCAAGCTTGTTCATCTAGGATGGAAAGGTCTGCTCAGGGTCTTAACTGCAATGAATGTTTTAGCATCAGCTAAGAGCTGCTTTCAAGTTCCTCACTACTTATGAGGTTCTTCATCTTTGTATGTCTCCTAATATCAGGAGGTTCTCTTTTAAGACTGTTATTAAATAGCAAAATTGATTAATAAAACAAATTCATGTGCTTTACAGTATAATACCAGTCCAGACATTGGACACTTCTACTCTTTCAAAATGTTTGAGATTTGTTTTTATCTGTATTATTCTTTACTTTTCAAAAATAAAAATAATAAATGACACATTGATATGTTTAATATAATTAATACAAAAAATTAGTCTGATGTCACCATTTTTATCGTCATCAATTTGTCACTTGGTTGGAGAGGTGTTTAGTTAGCCAGCCAGCCTTGTCATTGTTAACTATTAAAATTAGATACCATTATGTTTCTACAAACTCCATACAAATTTGGTACCATTCAGCAACTTTGCTAAGGAACACAAAACTAAATAAAGAGCCCGTCAACTAGAATACAATGCATCTGGAAAGTATTCAAAGTACTTAATTTGTTCCACATTTTAACATGTTACAGCCTCATTCAAAAAGAAACTAAATTAAAGTGTAGTTTCTCCCATTATTACTCTCAGAACCTCTCAAGTTCAGGGTTGATGGGACGCGTCAGTGCCAGCCATTTTCAGTTATTTCCAGTGATGTTCAATTCGGTTTTAATTTTATTTCTATTGAGAAATATTAAACAACAGTCACCTCAAAATGCTTTATGTTGTTAAGTAAAGACCCTATAATAATGGAAAGAAGCGCCAACAATCCAACGACCCCCTTTCAGTGACCACTTAGCAACAGTGGGAAGGGTAAACTTCCTTTTAACAGGATGAATCCTCTGTCAGAACCGGACTCGCTGAGAGGCAGCCATCTACTGCGACCGGCTGGGACTAATGGGAGGAAGACAGGATAAAAGACACATTTGTTTAATCATTTATTATTAACTAACGAGTGAGTAAAAAAGTTAAGTGAAGAAGAAATAATCAGTGCATCATGGGAATCCCCCAGCAGCAGAGACATATTTGCAGCATAAGTAAGGGTGGATTCATTGTCACCAGATCCAGCCCTAACTATATGCTTTATCAGCAAGGACAGCTTTACACCTAATCTTAAACTTGTTCCCCAAATCCAAACTGGGAGCTGGTTCCACAGAAGAGGGGAAAGAAAGCTGAAGGCTCGGACTCCCATTCTACTTTCAAATACCCTAGGAACTGCAGACCAGCAGTCTGAAAAGCAAAGTGCTCTTTTGGGGAATACGGTACTACAAGGCTTTTAATGATGATATGGGGGCTGATTATTGAAAATGGTATGTAATGAGAAGGATTTTAATTTCAATTCTGGATTTAACAGAGAGCTAGTGGGGATTAGCCTGTATGGGAGAAAAATGCCCTTTCTAATCCCTCTCAGTATTCTTGCTGTTTGGACCAACTGAGGGTTTTTTAATTAGTTTTTAGGACAGCTTGATAATAATCGGGGAAAATGTATGTTATGCCTTTGAAAGGTACTGCCTAGGGGAAGCGTGTATAATGTAAACAGAATTGTTCCTAATACGGAACCCTGCAGAACTCCGTAATTAACTCCATTTACAAGAACAAATTTGAGTCTGTTAGATGGATATGATTAAAACACTGCAGTGTAATGCCTTTTATTTCTATGCCATGCTGTAATCTCTGTAACAAAATATTGTGGTCAACATTACCGAACACTGAACTGAGGTCTCACAGGACAAGTACAGAGATGAGATCACTGTCATTATTTTAACCTTCACTAACACTGTTTCTGTACTGTGATGTGATCTGAAATTTAACTGAAACTCTTGAAAATAAACCATTACTCTGCAGATAATGAGCTGTTTTATAACTACTCTGTCAACATTTTATTTTTTTTAAGATAAAAGAAAGGTTGAAGATTTGCCAATGATTAGCTAACAAATCTGGGTCTAGTGATGGCTTTTTAAGAAATGCTTTTTACTTCAGCCTTAAAGGCCTGTAGTTCACAGCCAATTAATAACGATAGGTGAAAATATCAATTAATGGTAGGACTTCTTTGAGCAGTCTTGAAGGATGCTCAATTGGGTTCAAGTCTGGGCTCCAGCTGGGCCACTCAAGAACATTCAAGGACAAAGGAATTGTCCTAAAACCACTCTTTTTTTTTTTCTTCTTTTTTTTTATACTGGCCATGTGCTTAGGGTCATTGTCCTGTTGGAAGAAATAACTTTTGCCTTCAGGTGCCTGACAGGTGGGCTGTCATGTGCCTTTTACTGAGAAGTGGCTTCCATTTGGCCACTCTACAATACAGGCCTTTGGGTGGAGTGCTGTAGAAATTATTCTTCTGCAAGTTTCTCTCTCCATAGAGGAAAACTGGAACTCTGTTAGTGACCATTGGGTCCTTGGTCATCTCGAGAACCAGTTCTTGTAGAGAACTTATGGGTCACATCAGCACAAAGACTGAGCTATTTGCCTACACTAACAAGATATATGTTTGGAGGATTAAAGAGGAGACTTTAAAACCTAAGAACACTGACCCTTTTAAGGATGGTGGTGGTCGTACCATAATCCTCTGGAGCTAGCTAGCAACAGTGGTACTGATACAATGTATGCAGTGAATGGGTTGAAACTTAAGAATTTGGAATACCCCCAAATTCTTAAGTTTCAACCCAAATCAAGAGCTAGGCGGTTGAAACTTGGACGCTCCAACATTGCAATGATCCCAAAAACACATAAAAACTGGTTTTGAATGGATAAAGCAGACTAACATTAAGCTTCCACAATGGCCTTCCCAAAGTCCCACCATCAATCCTTTTGAAAATTTGTGGATTACAAAAGCAAAATACAGGCCAGGAAAGCAACCAATTGCAATGAACTCCTCAAATATCCAGCCAGAATTATTTTTATAAGAGAAAATTCTCAATAAATTAAAACTTGTGCATCAAATTCTTGTTTTTTTTTTAATTCATTAAAGCTGTATTCAGTACAATCCCTGTAAAAAGAACAGTTCAAAACTGTTCGTTAAAAGCCCCAATTTTTTTCACAGAGTGAATAATAAGCTTCTGACCACAACTCTATATAATCTCTCCAGCAGGTTCTGGGTTCATGCTGGGGTCTCCTCGCTCTGTTGAGCGTGCCTAGAAAAACTCCAAAGGGAGGTGTCTAGGAGGCACCCTAAACAAATGCCCAAACCAGCTGAATAGGCTCCTTTTGAGACGCGGAGCAGCAGCTTTTCTATGACATCCCTGTGGATATCTACACTCCTCATCCTATATGTAAAGCTGAGCCAAGCCACCTTTTGGAGGAAACTCCATCATCCAGCCACTTGCAGTTGCCATATTCCTCTTTTAGTTATTAACCAGATTTCATTATGAAATCTGGTTAGATTTCATTATGAAATCTGGTTAATGGACTGGCAAATCAAAACCCTTTGACTTTTAGCTCAGCTCTCCCATCACCATAACAGTCTAGCACAACACCTTCTACCAAGCGAGAATTGGTACATTTCCTAGAAAGGGTTAGATATTATCATATATTTTATCCTGATGGCCCACCCTTTCTATTTGCAGGTTGATGACAGCAAGATGGAGGCTAGTGCCGTTTTCTTGCAGGCAGATCAACAGGGGAAAGTCCCCTTCTCAAGAAATTTAAACATCTGCTCCTGTTGTTCATTCAGGTCATGATACATCTGTATTTTTCCATGTTCCTTCCTGATGTTGCTTTCCACTGAGATTGACACATCTATAACAAGCTGCAGTCTTATGAGCCTTCTGATCCCCCGCTATATCGTTTAACCCCCCGAATGTTTAGCCAGCTGCTTATCTGTCTGGAATTTGAAGTCCCACAGGACCTTAACCATGTAGTTTTCAACTACCTTTGGTGGCGTCTGCCATTGGAAACTGGAGACTTCTAGTCCATATGCAGCACAGATGTTTTTGTACACTATTCCAGCAACTTCGTTGTGTCTCTCAGTGTACACTGTCCCATCTTACATCCTCCTAGTATGTGTTTGATAGTCTGTGGGGCACCTTTGCAACGTGGGTCCTGTTAGCTGTATTAGACTAATTGGTAAATTGAGTGGTTCTTAAATAGCTTTTCGACTCTAAGTGAGCACTCAAACACTTTACACAACTTGCCTCATTCACACAAACGCTTTTTTCTATGTTCTTTCTATATAATTGCTTCCATCTAACATTAACTCACATTCATGCTGCGATGGATGCACCAGAGAGCAACTTGTGATTAGTATCTTGCCCAAAGACATTTGGCATTCAGACTGGAGCAAACAGAATTGGCATTTTCCCTATTACTTAAAGATATTTTATCTGCTGTACATCGTTTTGTTTTTTTAGACCTTGCTATTTCTTTTGTCCTGAACTTATCTGGTTTGCCCAACTTTTAAGGACATATCGCACACAGTGCCAAGATTTCAGCTAAAAGTGCTATGGGAATCACCTTGTTGGTGCAAAAATACAATTTTGGTATGTTTTATGTTTTATAGAGCTAGTGAAAGAAATGAGAATAAATTATGTGCTTCTGCAAAAGCTACTGTCTTCAATTTCAAACTGCTTGATAAAAAAGACATGGAAATTGCTTCAACTTGTGGCAGATCCAATTAAAATTTATTTTTATTGATTGAACAGTTAGAATGAAAGACATATTTCATTCTAATCTGTTAGTTAAACAACATTCAGATATTTTCTAAATCACCAAATTAATACACAGATATATAGGACATGAAACTTGTGACAATTTCAGCTGGTTAAATCATTTGCAACCAAAGTTTTTTCAGTGTTGACTGGAAGTAGACACATATTATCATGGTTCCACCCACTACTGTGACCTCAATACAAAGTAAAGAGCAGACGTATGGCAATAAATTTTATCTTGAAAACTGTGAGGACTAAATCTGATGGGTTATATCAAGTTCCAGGTATACAAGTTTACCAACTGGACGAGACAGGAGGTGAGACCGTATGTCTCAATTTACCTTCATTACTGGAGAAATTCTTAAAGCACTAACTCAACATGGATGGAAATAGTTCCACCATATTTCATCTTGACTTTTGTACTGGGGCAAAGTGGGGACACGCAGGCAGTTGTTAGACACAGATGATAGTCCAAACACATCAGCATCACACTGTAAAAATCAAAGCACTGTCTCTGAGCTTTCAGTGATCACTTCCCAGCAACTACTGACAGTTGGTCTCTGATGCGTCCAAGTCCATCCAGTATAGTGTCCAGAGACTCCCTACTCAGCTCCACAGTCACAGAGGAAACAGACTCACTGTCTGCTGATGAACATGGATCCACCATCTAAAACATAAAAAGTGCATGACATTTTTCACAAGATTAGATAAAGATTTCACTTTCAACACAGCAATCTGGAGCATGGGTAACAAATGCTTTGTTACTGTACTTAGGTAGAATTTTCAGGTGTCTGTCCTTGAGTATTTAATTTTCTGACAACATTTTACATTTATTCCCTACATTTTTAAAACAAATATCTGTACTTTCTTCTCCTTACATTTTCAAAACAGACTTGTTACTTTAGCTCATTTATAGTGTTTATACTTGGGGGGATTAAAGTGGGCTGGAAGGAGAGCAGGTATGTTGTGGTTGTAGTACTTCAGCATCTAGCTAGCGCTACAGAAGAGGAGAATGCATGAAGGGAGTGATGTTTTTTTAAGTGACAGGTTATTTCAAAATTTCAACGTTGCTATATGCTCAGCAAACATTAGCAAACACAAACTGTTTGTGTGCAATTTGTTGCACAGTGTGTTGCTCCAGGTGCTGTATTTCACAGGGAGAGAAAAGAAGGAGAGCTAATGTCACTCAAGTGTTTGTGTACATGGTCACGTTATGTACACTTAGAAAGTCTACTGAAGCTCATACTATAAATAATTGTGAGTTGTGATTATTTCCTTTTGCTGAGCCACTACACAGATCTTAGGGTTCCCCCACCTGCTAAATCCTACTGTAACCCCTGACTGTACTCATTTTACTGTTTAGGTGTGGAGACAAAGTCACCCTGCAGGCAACAGAAAATAGTTTGTTTTTTTTACATTCTCTTCTACATAACAGATTGAATCTTTTATGAGATTGTAAAAATATTTGCACTCTCGTGTACTGATATTGTTTATATTCATTTAGCACGAGGTTCAGTTACCTTTGCACAAAAATGGTTAGTAGAATTGTTCTTCAAGGAGCTACTATTTTTAACTTCCAGTACATTTCAGAGCCTGTGTTTTTTCTTTTTTACTTGAGTAAAAAAGCTGAATCAGTACTTCAACTTTTACTGGAGTATTTTTAACACTAGTATCTGTACTTCTACTTAAGTACAGAAAGTCTGTACTTTCGCCACCTCTGTTTACTCTGCCTCCAAACACAAATGAGTCAATGTTGTTTGGATGTTTGTGAATGTCGAGAATTTTATGAATATAGCCACTCTGACCATACCTTCAGTATGAAACGTGAATAGTATCACTGTTTACTCAACAATTATTTAGGAATGAGTGTGTTTGTTAAACTGTGTTAAAATCTCAGTTATACTAAAGCTAAAACACTGGAATATCCCGTTGATTGATTGATGTAAGATACTTTATTTCAATCCTTATAATGCCTCATATAATATAGTAGCATTGCATTGTATGTTATAACACATCCGATATATAATAATATGATACGATACATGAATATGTGCCCATGATGTGCACTTTATTGTTATGTCCAAATTTTTTTCTTTGCATATCATTGGAGATGGATGGCTCCTGGATCTGATGCAAGAGAGATAAATAACTGGCTGGTATCTGGGCTGATGGTGGTTGATGTGTCAATGGTATATGT